AATCAGCATTTGTGTATTATAACCTGTTTTCTAGGCGCAATAAACAATGGTAATAATTTATTTGTCAGACAGATCCATTTTTTATTTATTTATCTCAGCTTTATTACTTATAATTACCACATAAACTACAAAAGATAAAATCTTACGTGCCAACTTATAAATAAAAGGCGGCCTTATCGCTAAGCAGCGATCTTTCCAGGCAACCTGAAGTACAAGAGAAAAAAAGAATATAAAAAAAACCTACTGAGTTCTATTAGTTATGTTAGTCACTAAAATTAAAGAGATAAAATATAATACTTTATTATATGCTTTGCCAAACTCGGTACATAAGAGAACATAGGTATCGATTAACGCGTTCTCTTCGAATCCAGAGTAACTTAATGGTCAGATCAACTACTTGAAAAAAGGAGTGGCATCGTCGTCTTGCCAGTTCTTCTCGTTCGTTCAAGAACCTTGATTTGAGAACTGGTATATGTATTTTTGACTTGCTAAAAATGGCATGGAAAGCTGTAGATGTCGTCAAGTCCTTGTGTCTACATTTTTCGACCTAAAATAGAATTTTATTTTAATGTAATGGCTTCTTGTGCAATGTGATAAATATTAATGTTTTTAATAAATGGATTAATAAAAAAAAATGTCACGCAATATTCCGTATTGTTAAGTCTTGTAAAGTGTACAATATTTTAATACCCCTTCAGTTATTTTTAATAAGACCTTAGACCTTATTTGGGATTAATTCTATCATTGTATTGTTATACTCGTAGTAAATGTAAGGCACACTCCTAAAAAAAACATAAAAAAGCCGTTATTCTAAATTTAAAAATGTTAAAAAAACACTTCGGAAATACTTTCCACTTAAAACGACACTTTTGTCATAATCTGCCAAGTTAGATGGGATTACACACGAAAGCTTTCAAGACAGTACAACAAACAAGACTTTAATATGGATTATTCACAAATGTTTGGCATTTGTCCAGTTGGCTATATCACTATATGTTAGTTCAGATGTTATGGTGGATATGTTAAAGTAATTCGGAAAAAGGCATTAACAATAGTTATACTATTTACAGCTATATTTCTATACGAATTTACTGAAATAAAAATCAAAAAGCATTTTGATTAACTTTATCTCTTGTTCTTCAATGAAAATAATGTACTAATGTATTCTAAAGGGGAAAGACATTTTGATAAAAATAAAAATGAATTTTAAAATTAAAAAAAAAACATTTATAAAACAAAAATATTTAATTAATTTATAGGTAACATCTTCATGCTTGAATCTAATTAAACTTCGATTATTAAATTACGTATCTACAAATTGAAATACATTTTTAATGGAATAAAATGTGGCACATATATTTTTTAACTCTAGCCGAAAGTTTGTGTCGGTTGTTCTAGGTAGGTAGGTATGGATATGAGGTGAGCTTATATTTGTTAGCGTATAACTTTGTCGTTTATGAACCGACTTCGAAGATTTTTTAAATATTTATTACTTTATGCTTTATTTTGTTTATTAATCTACGTTGGTTTATTTTTGATAATGCTCTCTTATATCAAGTTTTTAATCTATACTATCCAAGTAAAATTGATCCAAGTAGACCTAATTCTGCGACCACCATAGTTTTTTGGCTCAACAGTAGTAAATAGAACAAACAATAAATGCTATAATATTTCAATCGTCTGCGATTGTTTCAAACGCCTTTACGAAATTGAGTTTAAATTGGCCGATACAAAGTCACAGAGGGTCCCCGTTTACTTACTGTTATTCTGTTAACATTACCTCCCACGTTTTCTTTGAGTGTATTGCCAGGGAATTGCTATAAACTCTTGCGCGGTCTTTGAAGACAATATACTCTTGTTGTTTCGAATTATTTACGTTTGTCAGTAATGTACTAATTTGTATTAACTATTTACTGTAATGTATTGTACATGCTTTTAAATAAAACACTTTAACGGTTTAAAACGCGATATATATTAGTTAAACTTATTTGAAAATTATTTAGCCTACGGCCCGACATTTCGGATGCTTTGAAACAGCGGTAATCACGGGGAGACGAAAGGTGGAGGGCCATCTGATAAAATTATTTTCGAAATAAGATTAACTAATATACATCGCGTTTTAAACCGTTAAACTATTTTATTTAAATGTGTACTATTCGCGTAACCTACCTACAGTATTTGTACAGACTTCTTGAGCTATATGTATATCTAGTTTAAAGAATTTATTTGAAAAATCGATATTAGTGTTGTTTATTTCTTCTCAGACGTGTTTAGACTTTGAAAATAGATATTGAATGAGTGGTTGACTAAAATTTCATTCAGATCATGAACCAACACAGATAGTAATCAACTTCAAGTACTTTCTGTAGTCTACGCTCACAAAAAAAAACAACATTTAACGGTGTAAAACGCGAAAAATATTAGTTAACTAATGATAACAAAAAAGCGTAGCAGATTTGACTTTGATATTGAAAACGCCTCACCTGGCTGCTATTACAATTGTTTCTATTCATAATAAGTTACTTCCTCCGTCACAATGAGAATGGATTTTTCATGTATCAATTAGACACCATTACCTTTAATTGGCTTCGATCCGTTGAAAGCAAAGAAAAATAATTTGACATTTTTATTTTTAGTCAAGTAATAATTGTACCTATTTTATTAAGGAATGAAAGCTGTGATATTTCGTTAAGTTGAGTGCATATAAGTGAAATATAATAATTAGTCCAACATTTTCTAATTAATTTATTATTTTTCTGAAACATGTTGGACTTCTTCTGGAAGTCTAGATATTAAATGCGTGATAGGAATATCTTGATTCCGTCCGGATCACAAACCACCGTCCACAGATAAAAAGCCCGTAATCACGTTTCGGATTCAGTCTGTGGATTTCCAAAAATCCAAAGCCAAAATAGGTGGATAGCGTATCTTGTTTAGATGCTGTGATACTTCACCAACCATCAAGTGCTAAGTCTGTCCAGCTTTATCAAAAAATAGATATATTTATTAAATATGTATTGAACGATTCTCTTTTAAATATATATCTAACTGCTTATACTTGTCATTGTATCTTTTTCAATTAAATTTAAAGCCTTTGAGCTCCTTTTGCAAACATATTTAGTTCAATAGTGTAAAAGACGGGATTAAATAAAACAAATTAGAAATTGGCACGTTAATTTGAAAATTATTTATTACATATTGTGACATATTACATTTTATTTTACATAAGGTAAGTTTTTAATCTATACATAGTATTTACATTTAAACTTTATTGTACTCTTTCGGTATACTTTATATAGTGAAATTAAGGCGTGTACGCAATTAACTTTTAAATGGAAAAACATAAAAGGGCAAAGTACTACTTGAATAATAAAAAACATAGAATTACTAGGTAATTTTGTAAAGGTTGAAGATTGAAGAATCCTTTAATATAAGGAAAATATTGTTTAATACAAAAATCACGTGTGTAACAGACCTTATATTTTTACTTATATTAATATTGAAACGGATTATATTGAAAGCTAAAATACTTTATTGTCGTGTTTATGTACAGAATGACGCATAGTTAAATTAACTGAAAACTGTACAATGGCTATTTAATTTAAAATAAGTGGTACAATGCGTATTTATATTTAAAAAAATCAGTAAAAAAAACTTAAAAAAAAAATGACATAATCATCGTGTTTTTCTAGCGTAGCCCTTTCATTTGATATCCATATTGAGGGCGCTACGGAAAAATATGTAATCCGCCATTTTGTATCGGCGGCCATCTTGGATTTATAATGTTTTTGATTATTATATTGTATTGTCAATGTACTAAATTTCAGATCAATATGAGAACGGTGCTTAAATTTCAATTTCTAATTTTGACCCAAATAAAGAAATTCTGTACGGGTCAATCTTAATGAAATCGTTCAATAACAAGGTTCAACTAGATATAAGGCAAATGATCCGAGAAAAAAATATTAACATTCAGGGGTTTCAAACATTTGAATATTGATACTTTCAACAAAATGGCGGAATACTATTTTATCTGGCTTCTTTATTCTTCCTATAAATAAGATGGTGATATCTAATTTTTATGATACACTTAATATTATCGCGTCAATAGTAACAGGATTTGTATTTAAATGAGTTTAATATAACTCGTTTTCCTAGTACATTTGTAACACTGAACTTTTATACAATTTCAAAGTTGTAAGCCACAATATTAAATAGATATGTACAATAAGGAACCCTATATTTTATATGTGTATAACTTGCGTAGTAACAATTATATACATTAACTGGAAAAGATCTAGTTTTATTGATGGAGAAAAGATCTAATAATATGAAAGCCGTTATTGGTGTTCAAATAATCACTTTATTATACAAAATTAAATCACATAATTTTTAAATAAAAAAGTTAAGTTAAATAATAAAGTTGTCTGTAGTTCATGAGAGTAGTACACATTTGAATAAAACACATTAACGGTTTAAAACGCGATATATATTAGTTAAACTTATTTGAAAACGATTTTAACTACGGCCTGACGTTTCGGCTTTACAGCAGCCGTGCTCACGAGAAGACTAAAGATGGAGGGTGTCTCTGATGTCAAAGTAAAAAACTACTACGTTAGCGCCGTTGAAGTTGATATTTGGCGAAACTGGCCGGGTCCTTGCAGAAACGGTATCTTCGCGTTTGCTGGTATGCTGTTTTTGGAATACAGAGTTTCCCTAACAAAGCATCCAAAACGTCGGGCTGTCGTTAAAATAATTTTCAAATAAATATAACCAATATTTATCACGTTTTAAACCGTTAAAGTGTTTTATTTAAATATTTTTTACTACTCAACAAAATAACGGTCAGAATACTCGAACTTTCGAGTAAAACTTTATCTCCGCTATTGGGATTTCGAAAATTACTAGCTAACACATATGTTTCAGGATAAAATATATAATGTAATATAAGACTTACGATATTTTATATACTAAATAGAAAAATTAAAAACGCAGCAACGTTATCCAAAATCTTGCGAGATCTGCCAAATGATTATTCTTAAAGACAACAGAATAACAAGAAGTTGTGAATGAACATTATTTTTTGCTGTAGAATTGTTGCCGTGCTGCATCGCTGCTGGTGTTTCACCTGAAAAGAAGTATTATTTAGAAAATTCGTCTACAACCAACGATAAAACAAATGTAGCCTATACTTTCAGGAGTAATTAAAATCATTACAATATAATATATATTGGATTAAATACAGAGGATGGATTATTATATTTTTCGGCAGACATCTTTACCTTAAGGGAAGATTTAAAAAACTAAGGCCCACCACACTACTCCAATACGGGTGGGCGATTAACAAGTACCCTCACTCAACTTAGTAATCATATTTTATGTGTAAGAGGCTTTTATGAATGCTTTAGAACTTTCAAATTATCAAAGCGTTTGGTAGAATGACTGAAACACATTTTATTTATTTATACTTTTTACACGACACACGCACACAATTACAATTAACTTGAAATAATAATAAAATCTATAAAGTATGGAGTGTAACGGGCGGCCTTATCTCTATTAAGCGATCTCTTCCAGGCGACACTTTATTTTCCATGAAGGCGGCACCAGAATCTCGCGAGGCGCCTTCTAGTGGTTCTGTATACAATATACAAACTGTATACAAATGAAAATCGAAATTGTTCTCAAAAAAAGAGTTTTCTGTTTATTGCTGTTAAATGCTGTCTACAGTTTACGCGAGTAGTACACATTTAAAAAAAACACTTTAACGATTTAAAATGCGATATATAAGTTAAAATGTTTTATTTAAATTTATTGCTATTTCCATACAAATAATATAACTGGAATTTCAGTGATCTAAACTCTCATTTTCAGTTAACAATTTTCGATGAAAGTGAGACCCTTTCTCGCTTTTTAATGTTCCAACTGTAGAAAACTGAAAAGTCATTTATGTTTAGTTTATTTTTGAATTCAAACCACAACGACGACGCTTCGAGCAATTTTAGTAGAGAAATAACGTTCAGTGAAAATTTTTGGCCCATTTCTGCTATCCACTGAGAAAAATGTATGTCATCGTGTTTTATAGCGACGTTTGTTGCGAAGAAAATTCACAAGAAGACCTAAATTTGTTGAGAAAATTCACGATAAAGGTCAACCAATTCATAATATATTTATATAAATAAAGACAAAACACTCTTGTATATGTTCCAACGGTATATTTGCCGTATGTCTTTGTAAATATTGTCCCGAAGTGCAAGGACGAGTGCCGTCCCATTTAATTTCTTATTCTTAAATAGATTTATTTATATTGGTGTTATGGAAAAAAAATATATAAATATATAACAATTTTGTTTCTTCTATAATATATGTTCATAAAAACAAAAATGATACAAGTTACGTAAAATAATATAAATAAACTTTTGATAAAAACAAATCGATGCAACGGTTTCAAATACACGACCACATTGCGTAATGTTGCTTAACTTATGTAGTGAAAGTGAAAGCCCGTTTCCCCCTCGTGGGGCATGTGGTGAACATATTTCTGTGTTCGTTTCACTGATCACTGAGATGATAGTTTATATGACTTCTGTGCCCTGCCCAACCGAAACAAATTTAGGTTTCCCTGGGATTCGAACCCAGGGCCTCTCGAGTTTAACGCAATGCTCGGCAATACGTTTAACCATTTGGCTACAGAGGCGGTCGATTATTAACTTATGTAGGGGTAGGTAAAAACCGATAAAGATCAGTATATTCACAATATATGTTAAATACTTACTTTGTACTACATGTACTGTAACTGATGCCGCCCGAGCATTTGCTGGAACACAGGTATAGTTTCCAGCGTGTCTTGGCTCTGCCTTTCCGATCATTAGTTCGCTGGTATGCCTACCATTGTGGACACTAACGCCATCTATAGGACAAGATATCTATTTATAATTTCATATAATAGATCTTAAAGTATTCTAGACACAAATATTTCATTGATCTCAATAACCATGTTCAGTAAAATTTTCGCTCCAACTGTAGAAAACTTAGAAGTAACTTATATTTTGTTTATTTAGCATATGAGAATCCTATTACCCTAAATAATTGCACTTTTCTGTCTAATTTTAAAATTGTTTTTACAACAAACAAATAAGTACCTTTACCTTTAAATCTTCTAGGATTGTAACCCAATGCTTTAAGCCCTAGCTAACATTTGGGTGGGTTAAATCTTAAGAAACCCAACATGTGACTTCGTAAAGACTAATACTTTCGAATATTCAATGACAAAATAGATCGACAGCATATCGTCTTGAGATGCCATATGGCTAGGGTATTTCACCTTCCACCATAAGTATAGATAAATACGTAAATCAATATAAATCTAATTATATTATTATTCGTGCAAAAAGGATCGTCTTTGTGTATGTATATCTTCAATTTGAAATTATAGTATACTATTAAATTTCGATCGTACACTAAAATAAGCATCGCAAAGTTTAGCAAACAATTGTATGCCAAAGTATTAATTGGCACCTAATTATTTCGCTTAAACAAACATTCAATTGGTTGAAAATAATAGTGGTTTAAACTAATGACTCACCGCTTGTTACGAATTTGTAGTCGCTTTGTATAGATAATTGAAATTGTGACATGCAAATGGGTCGGCGCGAACACAATTGGCCGCATTTTGATAATCTATATGAGTTATTGATTCATGTTTATCGCAAGTGTTTAGGCTATAGTTGGGGGCTCAGAAACTTTCATTCATTTTTTAGATAAGAAGTAATTTTAAGATGGAAGAGAATAGAGTAGAACAGGTATAATATAGACTAGCTGTATCAGCGACTTCGTCAGCTTAGAATAGTTATTTGGTCGTCCTAATTCGTTTTTGCGACAGAATTTTGGGTAATAGCTTAAATTTTTGAAAGTAAAGAGCAATTTTTATAAATTTAAGCTGTTACCCACGACGTCGGTCGAGTCCCTTTGCTATTGCAAGTTAATTTCAAAAGATCGTGTTTTTTTTTAAGAAAATTCATTCTATCGTATATAGTTTTTTGTATCTTGAACTGTTTTTGCAGCGTACGCATCGAAAACACACAAAGATTCTATTATATCTATACGATATTTTTTCTACATTCACCGCTTTTTTTTCCTCCCATTAGTCGCAGCGCGATATTTTATAACCTTCTTCGATAAATTTTCTAACTAAAACAAAAATAATTTTTCAATTCGGACAGCAGTTGCCAAGATTAGCGCGTTCAATCAAACAAACAAACGAATTCTTGGGCTTTGTATAGTATAGATATGAGTTTTGTATTTGTTCGATATTTAAAATAGACCTTCGCTCCGTTTAAGTCAGTATGCCATATTGTTCTTTAATTAAATTTAAAGTAACATACAGCTAAAGCCCGGTCCCTCAGAAAAGGGAAGTGATTTAAAAGATTACATCAGATACAGTGCGAGGTAACAGGCTTTTACCGCCACTAAATTAGTGATGAGAAACGAGACCGACGGCTTAACATCCTCCAAGCCACTACGATATGAATAAATTCAAATACCGAGCTAAAATTTGTCTTTACCCCCGAGATTCGAACTCAGGACTGCGTTGCGCTAAGCGAGTAATAAGTTATATACTTGTGAATTAATATACTATTGACATTTGTTAAGTATATAATTTAAAACGGGTGTTGCCACAACTATTAATCAAAGAAAAAAAGGAAATCGAAATTGTGTACACTTTGTTTTGAAACAAAATATATACATTTTTATTTCCAAAACAAACACAAGGTTTGTTGTTATAAATAATCTTGGTATCAAACGCACATTAGAATTCAATCTTATGTGACCAAACAGCTACAATACTAATACATAAGCAAACACTAACAAAGGGATATTTCCAAGAATATTTGCTCTCAGTACAATAAATATAGCGTTATATCAGTTAAATAATATATTGCGCATTTTAAACCGTTGAAATTATATTATTTTAATGTGTACTATCACAGTTAAACACTTTTATCGGTTTAAAACGCGAAATATATTAGTTTGACTTAAGAGTTTTAATTTTAACTACGGCACGACGCTAATTCGCGTTTTTAACCGTTAAAAATATGTCATTAAAATAAACATACTTACTCAAATCGTAATTAATCATTCTGTTCTCGAAGTACCAGAAGACGTATGAAGGCGGTTCTGTAGACCTCTTCACTACGCAGACCAGTTTCAACATAGACCCTTCGTGAATTATTTTCTCGGACTCGCCGACTATTTCTGCGTACGCCGCTGTTGAATTATATATTTTATTACTATCTTATATCAGAAACTAGTTTTGCCGAAGCTTCTTAGCTATAGAACTTCCTGTTGTATAGCTAAGAAGCTTCGGAAGATGTGTACTACTCGCGTAAACTATAGACAGTATAAGATTGAAAAGTTTAATATTTTTCACACGTTATTCCACACGATGACAATATATAGATAAAAATCGAAAATGTATTGAAAAAAAATATAAAAGTTTTCAAACTTTATAACTGTAATATCATCGCCAATAATTTCTTAAGCTGCAAAGCATAAGACGTTGAACCTTAATACGCAAGTGTTAAGGTTGATATTACATTGCGCGAGAGATGCATGTATCAATCTGTTGAAAATATCGACGATGAGGTGTAGGACTCAGTAGCTCAATTGCTTAGAACAACAGCAGTTAGAGGAACGCTGACGATGCTGGTTCAAGTCCTGCCTGAGTCGTAAAATTTTTGCATTTTATTTTCGATTTTTAATCTAACTGAGAAGATTACAAACCGTAATAGCTTAAAAATAAGTGGGCGGTAATCAATATGTACAAACACAGTACAAAAATATGTGTGTATGTCCTGGTGTGCGTACCATGTTCATTTGTTTTTTTTTTATTTTGTGCAAATTACATTGTAATTTTTTTCGTAAGTATATTTGTGTTGCGAAAGTTATAAATTTAAGAAATAAATAATGATAAGTTACATGTGTATGTAAAAAGTTCATTATGTGTGTGTTTCTGTATAAATATGAAATAAAATAGGAATATAATCTTTTAATTGGGTGTCTCTTGTGAACCGTTTTTAAGTTTTCATCTCATTTTTTAAACCATTAAAAAAATATAAAGTGGGTTAATTTACTTATTAACATTTTTGCTACACAAATATAAACGTTTAACTCAAGAAACTCCTCATAGAACAATAATAATACAAAAGCTGCGGTTCAAGAGACGGAAAATATATTACTGCATTACTCGAAGGCTTTTTATTATTCATATGAAGTCAGATATGGTAGAATCCATAACAAAAGGACTTGAGACAACTTATTGGCGTATTCAAATAACTGCTCACAAATATTTTTTCTTATGGTATTATTGAAATTTATTTAGAAAAAATACATATATTGTTGTTTTTGTTTCAGGTATATATCAACGTTTCGTTCATTATGCAGTGCGTCACGTAGTAAGTACTTCACTTATTTATATAATTAAATACTATTTAATTAGAAAACAATTTATCAATAAGTTGGTATTTTCTATCTTAAGAAATGGGCGGACATATTTTTGTGATCTGTTTAGTTATACAATTAAGTAAAAGGGAGCTAGTTGTTGTCATTACACGTATACAAAAAGACCTCACTCAAAATGCTTAAAGCAGGGGTTAACTATATTTCTGATTTCAAATGTATACTTAAATTATGAATACATTAAATAAATAGTAAGTTTAATTACATTTTTCCGACCAAGCATCGAATAGTACATAAATAAAAAATATGTTTAAAATCATTTGAGTTTCCGACTATTAGTCACAAATATTCGATTGTGCTGAAGTTAAAACGTTCGAATATCTATCAGATTTTCTTTGAGAATCGCTGACTTACCAACTAGTACGAGTTTGAAGAAAATGCTGGTCGGCGGATGTGTAGGAACTTGACATTCGTAGTAGCCCGCGTCGGCTGACGTTGCGAATCGTATATGTAACGCCCAGTCCTGGTGAAACAAATTTTATTACGTGGATAGACAGGTTGGATACTTTTCAAAGGACTAGAGGGGGTTTAGATTCGGTGAAATACTTGTTCTCAACTATTTTCTTGAGAAATGCTTTTAGTGAATTATCGTACTCGTGAGTTTATTAGTTTGTACTCATGAATAAATAAAGCCAATATAGAGAACCTTTTGTTGTTTTGTGCTACGTTCAGTTGTGTTACAATAAACCATATTTGTATTGTATTGTTTTAAAATTTTCATATTTTTCACATGTTTTTACAAATGATAGCGTTATATATATATTTTTTTACACATTTGCACCTATTAGTCACAGCAATGTTTTATAGCATATAACCTTCCTCGATACATGTTCTAACCAACACAAAAAAAAACAGTTCAAATCCATTAGTTCCTGAGATTGGCGCGTTCAAACAAACAAACAAACTCTTCAGCTTTATTTATTAGTATAGATACAACTAGATTGATAAACTTTCACGAAAGGAGTTTGCACGAGTGGTGCATGTATCAATAGGTTGAATAAATTCGACGATGACGTATGTGGCAATGTAGCTCAATTGGTTTGGAGCGACAGTACGGATGCTGTGCATGCCGGTTCAAGTCCCGTCCGTGTTTTACGTGTTTTTCTTATCTTATCTTTCGATTTTTCATTTATCAGGGATATATTGAACAACTAGCAAGGGCGATACTGTACATAACTGTCTTTAGATCTAAGTCTTATAATCAATCAACGGATATCTTCCGATCCAGAACGCAATATCTAAAAGCAATCATACTGACGCGTTGTAAAACAATTTGATCCACTCAAAAGATGCTTTCCTGAAGTAAAACAGAACTGGAATTTCTATTGAACTTTGCAAAACAATTATAAGGGACTGCGGAATCCATTGCGTTTTCATTTCAATTAATTTGATAAGAATCACGCGATTTTATAATCCCAGAATTATAGCATAATTGTAATCTAGGATAGATTCTTTTGACACATGCATAACTAGCTTTGTCAACGACTTTGCCTGCGCAAAATAGTTATTTTGGGCATCAAAATTTATCTTTATATACCTCCTGTTCTATAAATTTAGATTTATAGTTACCCACAATGTCATCCGCGTCACGTCGTTCTAGCAAGTTAATCTTAAAATAGACATATAGTTACTTACTGCCACGGAAGTTTTTTTCAATTCATAGAGTAATCATTATTTCTTACATATTTTTGGTTATCTTTAACAGTTTTCGCAGCGTACGCAACGGAAACCCACAATGTTGAATAATTTTCTTCAGGATAAATATTAATAAAACTATTACCTTAACATGTCTTCCATGCGCAGAGAAAAACCTGCTATCTGCACTATAAGTTACCAGACCAACAGACAAGAGTGAGTAGTCTTTCCGCCGTATCCAGGTCACCTGCAAACAATAATTCAATTAATCGGCGCTCTAAAATGGACAGTTGGCTTTACAGTGACAAAAATAGTTTTTAAGCTAGAGATTAAATTGGGACTGACAGCCGCTTTTTAGAATTATATTTAACTGTTATAAATTTAGTTTATGGTTGTAATAATTAATTAAATGCTTGACTCTAATTTACATACTTTCCATTAAATACTATTAAACTGTTTTATCTAATAATTATAAATTGAACAGTAATTTTTTTGGTAAAAAAAGGGGGAAACACCCTAGTGCACCTATTTTGGCTGTGCATATTCGGAAATCCACAGACCGAAATAAAACCCAATTGCGATGAAACTAGATGGCATTTTTATCTATGGACGGTGGTTCGTAACTGGTGGTATTTCCAACTATCAATTGTTTCATATCCAGATTTCAAAACAAAGTCGAACATGTTTCAAAAAAATTATTAAATTAGAAAAATGTTAGGACCCTATGCGAATCGAACCCACGTAACGTTGATTATGAGCAACGGGCTACCATTACGCCAACGAGACCGTCAAAAATTATATTACAGATTTATACTTCACCTAACGATTATTATAAATATAATTACATATTTGTAAGACTCAAAATCGAATTAATGAGGAGAAATAGTTTAAAGAAAACATAGTTATTTGTAGGGCTTACTAGAGTAGGTAGATTCGATGAAGAAAAAAATATATTTCATAAGATAGAGAGTAGATCGGACTTAAGTTAACATTTGGTATGAAGCCGACATAGTTATGCAATATATTAAAGTCTCAAAAGCAGTCGGAGTTAAGTCTTCAAAGATCTGAATGAAATTGAAAAATGCGTCTTTGAATCTCTCGTCAGGAGATAAGGCATCTCTGAAGAGCACAATACGAACGAAGATTTAGTAAAGGCTAAAGCGGATTGCTTCTAGAGTTTTTAAAGCTACTGTTAATTTGATATTATATTTAGTTTATCTTCAGAACCAAATTTTATTTAATAATTTAATGTTACAATTGAAAGTGATAAAATCTGTGCAGTTTGTTTGCTAATAAGCAATATAAATATAAAAATTGATAATTAATGTATTTTGAACACAAATCTACTGGATGGTTAATAATGTTATTTCAATGAAAATACGATGATGAAAAAGATAAAGGTATGTTTAAAACATGAGCATACCTATTGAGGTATGAACCTCGATAGGTATAAGTAACAGATACTTTATAATTTAAAAATCGAAAATAAATTGAAAAAAGTTTCGACTCGGGCAGGACTTGAACCGCCATCGTCAACTTTCCGTGCTGTTGCTCTACCAATTGAGCTACCGAGTCCTACACCTCATCGTCGAATTTTTTCAACTTATTGATACATGTACCTCTCGCGCAATGTAATTTCAACCTTAACACTTGCGTACTAAGACATACTTTAATCATTCTAATTTGATAAACTGGAAGCAAACGTGGATTTACACTGTTTAATTTTTTTGTCTATGGTCAATGGTTTATGGTCCAGGCAGAAATTGATATTTATAACCTCTATCTTCACATGTTCACATGGGGTATAACTTTATGTATACATGTATTAACGTGAGAATCAACAAACCTTTTCCAAATGAAATCAATCTCACGATCTGTTCTGAATCTCACGGCTACAAAAAATATATTTGTACCAGTAGACCAAGACCCGTTTAAAATGGATATAAACTTACACATTTAATTGATTATTAAAAAGTTACTCACCGTATTTTCAGTGATATCGCTAACTTCACAGTGTAAGATGGCCGTCGTACCGATTTGCGCGATCACAGTCGTACAATTCTCAGTCAAAAATATTCCGTTCTTGCTTACTTTACCACTTAGTTTATTAACCGCTGATGCGGCTGAGTCTCTATACATTTTCTTAACTTTATTTAAAGATTTAGGCAGTACTGCGTCGTCCATTTCTAACTCTACTTCTCTATCTAACTTATCGTGTTTATGTCTTTGATGTGTTTCTTCGTCAATTATATTATCTATGCTTTGTACAGAATCGTATTCATCTATGACGGAGAGCCGAAGTGGTTTTGGTAGCTGGGGATATGCTGTGCTATAAACATTTGTTGTATGCTCTGTTTCATCTGTTGTTGTAAACATTGTTGCTTCTGTTGTTGTGCTGGTTGATGTTGTTCTTCTTCTGTGGCCTGGTGAAAACATAGAATTATTATTAAGGTTAGTAAGGCTAGCTAACCAGGAACTAATTTAATTAACCATAATGACAAAATGCTTATAGCTTAGTTGCTTTATGCTTGAAGAAAAAGGAATAAGAATAAAACAATATTTAATATAAATAGTAAAAGATACGCCAAGTTTTAAAATTCTCAAGAAGATTAAATAATAATCTATCTATTTTAATTTTATGAACTTAATTCAACTTAAACGTCTTCTCAAATCTGTAAACTTCTGATAGTTGCATAGAGTTTTAAAAGAATACTATAAAATATACATCTCCTTATTTAAAAATTAAGTCATAATTTTAACTTGTTATATTCAAACTAAATAAGTAAAACAAATCTAATTATTTCAATGTTCTTATTATAAACAATAAATATTTTACAATTGAAACAATGGTGTTACTCGGCAATGAAATTTTAATAATCTTTAAAACCAATTTTAATTATACGCTTCAATTATTTTTCGACGCGACTGGCAGTTATTAAAATTTATAATATTTATCGTGGATAGTGTACTGTTTAATTATTGTTAAAGAATAAAAAATAATTCCATAATAACGAAGGAGTAATATAATAATGAAAGGTTTAAAATATCAAATAGTTTTAGGTGGTACTTAAAATAGCTTGTCTGTAATTAAATACTATCATTGTGTACTTAAGTTTGCATGAGTCTTGGTTGTTATTTTTAATAAGTGATAGCGATGTGGTCACTAAATTGTTCTATACTTGTTCGCTTCACATTTTATTTTGTACAGTCAAATAAACTTAGTAATTATAATTCTCTATTTTAATTTAAATGTGTCTTTGTAAATGAGTTTCATGACTTATATAATTTTTAGCTCGAAATGAATAAGGTTTTCTTTTAGTTTTGAAACTTATTTTTAATAATATTTACACTTTATTATTCAGTTGTAGTATTATACGTTTCCCCCGTGGGGCACGGGGCGAACATATTCTGTGTTCTATTCACTAATCGGTTCTTTTGCAGACAAGTACTGAAGACTTCTGTACCCTGCTGAACCGAAACAATTTATTGTTTCCCTGGGATTCCAACCCAGCAACACATTAAACAATTTCACTACAGAGGCGGTCAAAATAACGACTAATTAACCTTTATATAGTTAAAGTAGACCTTTGCTCCCTTACCTTTCTTATGATGTCTCGTGAAGTTACCGAAAACACTACCCAACCTCTGCTGGTTCCTTGTCGTGCACACTTCTAGCGACCGCAAGTCATCCGGGTTCTGAGTAACCATTATGGAAGACGTCTTCGACTCCATAGCACCTGTGCTCACTAACAAATCCGCTTCGAGTAATAGAACAACAATGGCATAGAGTAGTTTTAGTTCTTTACAGCAAAACATTGTTTTTGGCACAAACGTCACATTTCCTCAGATAACGCACGCAAGTTAATAGTCATTATGTTTGTATGCGTGCGCGCTGTTATCTAGATTTTCGGTGAATTTTCATCCTGAAACAAGAAGAAGGTAATATTATAATTATGCAGCATACTTTTTAATGTTCTTACATAATTAAAAAAAAAATGTTTTTCACTCAGTTTTAACTAGGTGGAGGTCTCCTTAGCTTAGACCCACCCCGCTTGTTAAATGCGGGTTTGCCGGCTTAATCAACTAACCCTGCTAAATTAGTGATTACTAATTTAGTTAGAAGATAGAGAAGATGAGTCATAAATATGTAGAACTTAATTAAAATTATTTAGACGTATTTTCTTCACAAAAGACAATTTATTTTATACAAACTTAACGGGTAAATACGCGAAATATAAGCGTTATGATGTTTTTAACTATAATTCGACATTTCAACACACTTATTAGCAACCGTGTAACACCAAATTGTAGTTAAAAATAAGTTTTATATATTTTAAATGTTTATCAGTAGATTAAACTACAGTGAATACTAGCATGACTTTTAGTGGATTCTTAGTAGAACACCCATCATGAAACGACCGATCATTAATCATGTAATATTCATAGTCGACCTCATCAAAACACTGACAAGGTAAGGAATTATCTATAACCGCAACAATAATAGTTTGATCTATTTGGCGTATTCATAATATATGAGCTTTCACTTCTTGTTCCTATATGTTGTTCGTATTGAACAATAGATGGCGTTTTACACAGTTAATTCTTTCTCTTTCAAGGAAAATATTTTCCGTCTACAAAAGTCCCTGCCGATTATTGAGTTATTATTGAAGCAAGTTTTTAATGATTGTCAAAATAATGTGAAATTATAGAAAATCTATACACCCCGCTATTCTAGTGATAATCTGTTATTTTACACCCAAAATAGCTAAAATATTGTGTTGTATTCGCGTATATTTAGTCTCAGACATCGTAGGAAGGGTTAAAATAATCATTAATGTAGTGTAATTTAGGATTATAATTATAAGTTAAGTTTTTTTACTTAATACTTTTTATATAGGTACATAGAACAAGAATTTGATTGAGGACGTATCCAAGTGCATTGTTGTGTGTTAGTGTGATAATATATAAATTATAGTAAAATAACATGCTAATTAAAATAAAATAAAAATCATGACAAGGTTGGGATTTGAACCGGTATCCACAGCGTTGCGTGCCCCAATGCGTGCCATAATTGCGTAGGTACCAATAGAGCCTCCATGTGCAATATATTAAAACCTATAGTGGGCACATATTTTAAAGATGTATCTAATACCAGTAGTTATTATCTAAGTGTAAAGAGGTTTACAATAATCATGGGCTACTGAGTCAAATCACGCAGTGCGGTTATCGTAGTGGGTGATTGGAGTGGCTAGCCAGGAACCACAGAACCGCATATCAACAGACGATATTTTAGCTTAGAAACAATATTGGTGGAAACTTACAATTTTTTTTTTATAATATAGGACGGCTTTCACTTAATGGTAGGTAAAATACCACGGCTATATAACATCTCAACTAGATGTGCTGTCGACTTATTTTGGCTTTGGATATTTGTAAGTTTACAGAGTAAAACCGAAATGCGTTTAAACATCATGGCTTTTTCATGTTTGGACTTTTGGCAACAAAATTGTTTTTTTTATGTATAGCGTCTTATTTACATATTCATATAATACAATTTTGTAAGCAACAATCAGAAACTCTTGTCTTCAGATAACGCGGGTACACACATAAATAAAACACTTCTTACGGTTGGAAATGTATTAGTTAGTCTCCAAATAACAAGAACGAGGAATCAAATACCATATTTGACTTCTACACTAATCTCGTTCCCTAAAGATATCCTGCATCTTTATTTCCCCCGTGACATCGGGCCGTAGTTAAAATAAATTGTAATACATACGCGCTTTAAAGCATTAAAAAAGAAAGTCTTTGAACGTTGTATATAAAAACCTACCTCTTGAATCATTCTATTTATTACAAACAAAGCATCTAAATCCGTTGCGTAGTTTTAAAGATTTAAGCGTGCTTAGGGACAGAAAAAGCGACTTTGTTTTATACTGTAGTGAAGAAAGTCGTTGAAAATAAGTAGATAAAATATTATTCTAAGACCATTTCGTCCATATTCAAGTAAGAAAAGGGCTTATTTTCAGCGCAGTACTGCCTTAATTGCGTAATATAAATATTAAAGGAATTCAAAGGCTTATCAAGCGCTACGTCAAACGCCCGTTTACGCGCCACCGTCCCGTATTTCAATGGATCGGGGCTGCGTTAACAACGAATTTGACTATAACCGTTATATCTCGAATAACAGTTAAAATAACGGTTCAGTCGTTAATCGCTAACGATCTATGCAAAGTTATGGTATTAGCAGTTAGGATTTTAGGTTATTTAGGACTCTAGGAATCAACGTAGTGTATATTCAAAACGAAATTATAAAGAAACACTTACTTTTTGTTTCATTTATGAAAAAATTATAGGACTATAGAAAAATATCTATCGAGAATAATAAGTTAATAGAATTGAAAGCTATAATTTGTGTGTTGGCTAGTAATAAGGTATCTTAGTCATTTGATAGTCGGTAATTGTAGTTTTTATTTCAAATGTTTATTTTTTAAAAAATAAACTGTGTTTACAATTCCGTTTTTTGAGAATAACGATTTTGAGAACACAACAATTTATAAAACATTTTAACGGTTTAAAACGCTGAAGGTATCAGTTACAAATAATTTAAATACGACTCGATGCTTCCCCTCGTGACCACGGCTGCTGCAACGTATCTGTATTCTTAGGCTGTAATTAAAATAAATTCTAAATAGATTTAATACCTTTCGCGTTTTAAATCGTTAAAAGTGTTATATTTAAATGTATTCACAATTTGAAACAAGTTTATCTTTATTTCGCACTTACTTTTAATAACACTTGAGGTAGGGACTTGAACTTAAATTTGAATTTTAAAATTGCGTTCAAGCCATTCAGAGGTCAAGTCTACCGTTTCTCGTCTTTACAAAAACGTGAGACGCAGACGGCTTTGTTCAAACTCAACTAGTTACAAAACTATTCACTTTTTATCCGGGATATATACGTCTGAATGTTCACTCAGAGCCTATACATTTTTCAGCATCTGAAACGTGACACCACTTTGTGTAGTCCGTTGGTGTTGCTACCAAGCTATCGGAGCGAAACAATGAATTACACTATACTGGGAAATAGACAAACATAACTTTTACACTCACTGTGTTTTATTATTTACGATCAGTCAACAAATATTTAAAGATATTCTTAACGTCATTAAAAAGTGTGAAACATTTTCATGGTTCTATGATGATTCGAACCCGCTACCAGAGGATGGCCATCCTTCTAACAGAGTTATCTTAACAAACCGTAGATTAGTTTGTAAAGAAACAAAACGGACACACATTAAACTTCAAAGCATATGTAATAACCGTTAAACCGTTAAAAATGTTTTAATTTAGATATTAACATTAGATTACTAAATTAAATGACTTATGTACATTTGAAAACTTTAATACGTTTTATATGTTATTACACATGGTGTTACTTAAATTAAAAATTTAAAATAAATTGAAACAATCTACGACTCGGGCAGGGCAATTGGTTGGAGGACGGAAAGCTGACATGCCGGTTCAAGTCCTGCCCGAGTCGAAAATTTTTCAAAATTACGATTTTTATCCTAGACTTAATTATGAACATAGAGGCTATCTTTTTTGGTGGTATTGAATCTGTATGGAGATTTTGCGAACTTACACCTAAAACAGAAACTTTAGTAAGAAATCGATTTGTAACCAAAACCAGGTCAAGTCGAGTCGTAAAGATGCCTTGAATGTGTTCGGTTCTCCACAATGCGATGTCATATTCTGAACGCCCCTTGACGCGTGCCAGAATGCAATTCCCTTGGGATTTTCGCTATTTCATTCTCTCCGGAGCCTTCGCGTAGGCTTTCACTTAAATTTACAGCTCGTGTGCTCCCTTCCGAAGCATCTAGATATGTACTACATAGCATATGTGAAGGAAATGTTTTAATTAAAACCTTCTACGGGTTTTTACCTTAACGTTATATTTAAATAGCTGACCTGGCAAACCTAATTTTACCATGTGAATTTCGACTAAATTTGTTATCATACCACGGTTCCATAAAAACGGTTCTTGTGAGTGAATCTTTAAAGACTATTGAAAACATTAATATTTTTCACATGTTATTGCACATGAAGGCACTATATAATTTAAAGATCGAAAATAAATGGAAAAAATTTTCGACTCGGGCAGGACTTGAACCGGCATCGTCAGCTTTCCGTGCTGTTGCTCTACCAACTCTACAGACTCGGTAGCTCAATTGGTAGAGCAACAGCACGGAAAGCTGACGATGCCGGTTCAAGTCCTGCCCGAGTCGAAATTTTTTTCAATTTATATTCGATCTTTAAGTTTTAAAGACTATTTCAATAAATTCTAATGTGTGAGCAACTATATGGTGGTATAATTAAAGAAGCTAACGTATTAAATTTAGATGGTTAATATACCGTGTAATAAAAATAAGGACTTCAACATTTAATAAATAAGACCCAAGCATGCCAGGTAAGCCTGGGGTTCAGTTGATCGAAGATGAAATTACCTCAGCCATTTAACATCAAAATAAGATGCGCTGTCGGCCTATTTCGGCTTTTAGATGATACATTTTAGACTTATTTGTTGTAACATCTACCATAGCGATTTACAAGTCGACTCAGTCTATAAAATGATATCTAGTTCAAATCAAATATGCGAACGCTAACCTCGAACACGGCAGCAAAAAACATGACTATCCCGCAAACAATTGTCACAGGTGTTATTTCTTTTGTATCAGAATGTTTCATACATACAAAATATTAGTACCACCTACAGTATGGTACGGTACAAAATGAATAATACATGAGTTGAACCGG